TGTTGAAAAAATCGGCATGTGATCGACGACTGTTGATAAAAAATGGAATAAAAATTGTTTTTTATTTTGTACAAAAAAATTACAAGAGATTTTAATCTAATGTGGGGGTGTCATTAAAGCTAAAGAAAAATATAGCGTAAAATACAGTAATGTTAATTCTGTACGTACCTATGTACATACTCATATACATTTGAGAATTTATAAATTTGCATAATGTTGTCATTTTTTTTAATTTTTTGTGAAGATGACTGTAAAAATGTTAACACGAATTTTAATAAAACATGAACATTGTAGAAAATGAGCATATACTTATATAAGTATAATTAAGAGTGAGCCGGTATCGGTTATGCATATAAGTTGCGTTAATATCAATTCAACAATTTTAATATTCCTTACAAAAAAATATGTTCAAATTAAAAATCAGCTATTTTTCAAAATAAATTAAAGTCATTATGAAATCATTAAATTAAATAATTAAAAACCAATTAAAAATAATCAAGTAATAGGAAATATGAAACACCTACATATGAAATGTATGTACATATGTACATACGTATGTATGTACCAACACTATTCAATCAAAGTGTAAAAGACTTATTCTAACGAATTGCATTCTGTCCAAGCAAAAAAAGAAAGCCAACGGAAAAGAAAAATAAGAATAAAAATTTTTTAAAACGGTTCATAACTTCCGTATTTTCTATATATATGTATGTACATATTTATACATGTATTTTCATACATACACAAGAATAATTACAAAATAATAATAAAAAAAGCTTTCCTTTATTTTGAATAAACTCATTTATGACTTGCATATACTTAGCAAGGTGCTTATGATTCACGGTAAATTCTAACGTGTTGTTTAGATTTTGAACTCTATATGTATGTAAACATATGTATACAACAAAGACAAGCATTTTTTCTGCAAACACAGAAAAAAAACTCCGCGGAAGGTTTCTTCCACTTCGGTTGAACTTTAAAAAAGAACTATTGTTAAAATTAACCGTTATCTTAAATTCGTTTTGTTTTAGATGTTCAGCTGTAGGAGTTTGAAATATTATCAGCTTTAGGATACTTATAAATAATTTATTTTGCTATACATAGATGAAAATTTTTTTCTACCCCGATCCCCTCTCCACTCTCGAGTTATCTTCTTTCGAAATTTGAAAAATTTAAATTTTTTTCACCTTACATATATTTTCGAATCCGCAAGCTCTTCCAAATTTTATAAATGCTGGACTCTAACTGTAAATGCCGTGCCATCAAAAAATATATATAATTACTTCTCTTAACTTACGCAATTAAGTCCTTAATTCGAGCATTATGATAACATCTCTTTCAATTCATTTTTTTTGTTCATCCTAAATGTATGCAATCTTTTAAAATATTACTGTGTGAATCAAACTATGTAATTTAAACAATATAGCAGATTGTAAGCAGTGTTGTCCTTTCCTGAAGGGAAAGGTGATACCTAAACCAAACCATTGGTTTGATCCAAGTTTATTTTTACATATTTATTTAAATACATATTAAAATATTTTAAATAGAATTTTTTTTTCTAGAAATTTTTTCCTAATAATCAAAGAAACCGATTATAATTTGTTGAAAATCCAATCAAATGAATTTCTTTAATGCTAAGTACTATTTCTTAATATTTATGCAAATAAAAGTATAAACACATTGTTTATTTATAAATTTACTTAATATGCATTCACAATATTGTACAGCAGACTCTCGTTTATATGAATTATTTATGAAATTTTTAAGAGAGGAAGGTTCAAAATAGTAGAACTAAGTCAAGTTATTTGTACTTTAAATGAATAATATTATAAAATAAGCTATGCAATTATACAAGGCTGCATTAAAGAAAATTGTATTTATAGGAACCAATCAATGGGCAAAATCTTATATTTTTGTTTTGTTCGTATAAATGTGAATGTACTGTTCTGTGTTTAAAAGAGCAAAGAGAAAAATGAAAACAAAAATTTTGATGTAGTTTTTTTTCTTTCACTCAATCTTTAAAATTCAAAATTAAAATTTTTATTTTCATGTTTAAAACATTTTAAAATATTGAGAAAACCTAATTTTTTTTTATTATCGAAATTAAAGCTTGTAATCTTTTATTCAAGATTTCTTGAATAAAATTTATAAATTTTTTTTTTGTTTTTAAAACAAATTAAATTTATGATGATGAAGATTATATGAAGATTATGCGGAAAAAATAAAAACGAATTTAAATTTATGATTTATTTCAAAATGGGCGCTTTATTAATCTGAAATTTAAAAAGAAATACATATTTAAAATATTGAAGAGCCCTACGCCATGTTTTCAGATAACTAACGATATCAGAAAATTCGAATAGTTGGGCGAATGGTGAATATATATGTAAGTATAAGAAAGCTCGTGTTATTTCTCTAAGGGAGAAGGTAAACGGTACAAAAATAATTTAATCATGTCCAGTATTTTTAATCATTTTTCAGAAAATAAAATAATTGAGATTTTTTTTTAAAATTTGATATACATACATATATAAGATCTCCCTGACACTTCAGTTAACCAGTATGATTTTTTGGAAATGAAGCGCTAACAACGAAATATCTTCACTATGGATCAAATTTACAATAACGATTTCGATGGTTATTGTTGCATGTAATTGACAATGCGTTATAAATACGAAACCATTTCCGTTTGTTGAAGCTTTTCCGTTTGTTGAATTTGCAATATAGAGAAATATATAAGTTGTTTTCAATAAAATAAATTTATGTATATAAAGAAAATAAATAATTTTGAAATTCCACTGAGCTTCGAAATACCACTCCAATACAAATTGAAATACAAATATTAATTTATGCTAAATTTAAATAATTTGAATGATTTTGATATGTATACCTAAATCGGAACCTAACACATTACATATATGTGTAGTTACATAAATTATAATTGCGCAAAGACCAGAATGTCAAATAGAAATGTAAGTAAAAAGATTTTTACATTAAAGAAGCGATCATTTTATTTTTTTGTGCGTACATTTATGAAAGGTAACGCAAAGTTTTGAATTTAGTTCACTTTTAGAAGAAAATATGGGAACTAACTGAAAAACATGGCAAATATGGAAAGCATGGAAACATGTATTAACTTTAAAATGATTAAAATTTTACTCTACTTTGCAAAATAATTTTAATATTCTATATGTTTGTAGGAATTCGCCAAAAAAACGATTTCTAGAGAAGTTCGTAGTAAAGGTCCAGTAGCTGGCAGCTCATTAAAATTTGAAAATTAATTTCTAGATCGTTTCTTTAAAATTTAATATAACAGAGATCTTGGATGCAAAACCATCTATATATAACAAAAAGATAAAAAACACTATATTAGTCAAGTTATGCCATCCAATGTAGGAAAGATAAAATTCACTAATCTAAAATATTCAATAGAAAGTTTTAACCTTAGTTAGATAAAAATCATAAAATAAGAATTTATTATTTTTTTTTTTTCATTATCGATTCGATTTCTATATTATAACATCATTAAACCCTTTTTGCATCAGTGAAAGTTTTATGGAAAAAATTCAAAATGACAAATTTTTTATTAATTTAATTTTAAATATTGAATATTCAAATTAATTTTTATGGTACGTTATTAATCCGAAATTAGAAAAAATGATTTTTTTATCAAATTTTCGAAGGCTTGGAAAAAAGCACATTTCCTTATAATAGCATTATTCAGATCAAATATCTGATGGGATTAGAAAATATACAAAAAAAGTTCATATAAAGGTTTTTTAAATTTTAGCTTGAAGTTTTTTCTAACACTTTCTCGATTAAATTTGACAATTACTTTTAAATATGAAGGTGTGTAATGGCTTCATTTTAAAATATGATTAAGAATCCCATTGCATTGTCAAATGGAATATTGTTGTTTATTATCATTATTATTTCATTATTTCTTGTTTAAATAAAAGTTATTATAAGCTATTTTTTATGTCGTTTTGAGAGAAAGACCGTTTACAGATAGATTTATAGTGAATTTGTTTTAAAATATGCTTTGTAGAGATTTTGTGGAGGCAAAAATTAAATATTTAATTTTCTTTTTGAATTTTCAAAATTTACATAAATTATTTTATTTTTATATTAGCTTTTAAAATTTAATAATATCGGTCATAAATATTGTTATGAGTGAAAAAATTTGGAAAAAAAAATTTGAATTCATTACTATTTTCATTTTTATGCTTTCATATTATTATATATTTTATTGTACACCTATATATATATTATATAAAGATTTACTAAATTACACACTGTTAAAATTTGACTCAAAATTTACTTGAAATTTTCTAATACGTTTTTAAATTTATGATTCTGTGAATTCTTAATTTTTCTTTCCATCTTTTGTGCTTTCCTTACATAACTGGTAAATTGAACCATTAAATCTCGTTTGATTGTGCTTGAGAGTATTTCCTTAATATCTTGGCATTATTCTTAATTTCATTTAAATATTTTTTTTCCTTATTAAGAAATTTTTTTAGCTTTTAGCCTATCTTCAATTAAATCCGGTATATAAACTTGAATTTTCGAAAATTTTCTGCTGAAAAACTTGAGTGATCTTTAGAAATTCTTCTTTGAATTCATAGCCAAACTGGTGTTCATACTTTTTTATGTAATTTACAATACGTATGAATGTATATGAAAGTGAATTGTATGTTACCAATATTGACACGAAAAGCAAAAAATTTAACTTTAATTTTCTGTTCTCGAATTAGTGTTTAACAATTTTCTAGTAAATTTAAATACTGTGTTCTACCCATTGATTAAATTCTTCTATGAATATTTAAATATCTGTAAACGGGTTTAATTGGACAATCTTAAATGAAATAATCCTAATTGAGTTCATATTAAGACAAAATAATGTAAAATTTTTATTGCAAACGTATAAATTTTTTAAAAGATAATAAAAAATAAATTTGCTAATCTTCATTCTTCTTTCTGTTTTACATTTATTTCAGACTTGGTTTAATTCGTGCTCGTTTAGCTGGTGCACGTTTAGCACGTGGAGATGTCTTAATATTTTTAGATGCTCACTGTGAATGTATGATTAATTGGCTGGAACCATTATTAGAACGAATTAAAGAATCTAGAACAAGTGTTTTAGTTCCAATTATTGATGTTATTGATGCAAAAGATTTTCAATATAGTACGAACGGTTATAAAAATTTTCAAGTTGGCGGCTTCCAATGGAACGGTCACTTTGATTGGGTTGATGTATCAAAACGTGAACATGAAAGATTAAAACGTGAATGTCCAACAGTACCTGCAATTTGTCCAACATATAGTCCAACTATGGCTGGTGGTTTATTTGCAATATCAAGAGAATATTTTTGGGAAGTTGGAAGCTATGATGAGCAAGTAAAAATTAGATTAAATTTAAATACATAAATAAGAAGAAATTTACATAAAAATACATTTTTTTAATGTGATTTTAGATGGATGGCTGGGGTGGTGAAAATTTAGAAATGTCATTCAGAATATGGCAATGTGGTGGTACTATTGAAACAATTCCATGCTCAAGAGTTGGTCATGTCTTTAGAGATTTTCATCCTTATGCGTAAGTAAAAAAAAATTAAATTGATTCTTAATTATAAAGTTGATTGATTTTTTTCTTTATAGTTTTCCGGGAGATCGTGATACCCATGGTATAAATACTGTTCGTATGGCTGAAGTATGGATGGATGAATTCATTGAATTATTTTATATGAATCGTCCTGATTTACGTGATCATCCAGATGTTGGTGATGTTACACATCGTTTAATGTTACGTAAAAAATTAAAATGTAAAAATTTTGATTGGTATTTACGTAATGTTTATCCAGAAAAATTCATACCAACAAAAAATGTTAAAGATTATGGACGAATTTATGTACCACATCAAGGATTATGTTTAGATGATTTACAAGCAAATAATGAAGAACCATATAATTTAGGTGTATATGTATGCCATAAGGATGATATAACAAAATCACAATTTTTCTCATTTACATTAAATGGTGTACTACGTAATGAATTAAGTTGTGCAACAGTACAAAGAAATTTAGTTGTTATGACTTCATGTGATCCACGTTATAATGAAAAATGGTCATATACACCAACTGGTCATTTTATACATCTTAATACAGGATTATGTTTAGATAGTCGTGGTTTACAAAATAAAGATTTTGTACAAGTTGAAATATGTGATAATAGAAGTATGACACAAAAATGGAAAATTGAACATTGACATGATTTTTAATTTAGAATTTTAGTAAAAACAAAAAATTATACTAATGAAAAATTTTAATTTAAAAATTAAATTATTTTTAATAAATTGGAAGAAAAGAAAAAGATCATCATCACAAGCATTTATTTTTTTTTTTTGTTTAATTGATATTTTAATTTTTTTTATTTTTATTTTAAAAATTTTGCAAATAAACATATTTTTGTAAATTGTATAGTCAAAAATGAAATTTATATAAAAATGTATAATTTTTATTAATCAATTGTAAAATAAAATTACTTCTATTGAAAGTTTTGTTCAAAAACGAAAACTTTAATTCAAATTTTCAGTCAAATAAATTAAAATTTTGAGAATTTGTTAGTTTTTAATATTATATAAATTAGTAAATTATATTTAATTTAAAGAGACAAAAAATGTATAAAGAAGACTAATTAAATTTTTATAAATTGCCTTAATGATACGATCCAAATAAATGTAAATTTAATGTAAAAAAAATGAAAAATTCCTATTTTCTTCCACAAAAATACAAATTACAATATTAGCTATAGTATGATTAAGAATTTCATAAAATGTAACTTCATATTTTGTAGAAAACAGAAAAACAAACATAGTTCCAAATTTTGAAAGAAAATTAATTTTTATATTACAAAAAATTATTGTTAAAAATTAAGAATAATTTTCTATTTTCCTGTAATTTATAATTATTATTAAAAAATAAAATTTGTTTTACATTTTAAATAATTATTTAATTTTAAACTAAATACACATGCACATATTCCAAAAAAAAAATTACAAAAATTAATTATTTGTTTTTTTCTTCCAGATATGAAATTAATAGAATTATATTATTTTCTTTAACAAACCAATATTTGTTCCAAAAAAATAATTAACAATTTTTTCAACATTCAATGAATTTCTTGGAAAGAAAATTTCGCAAAATAAAAGTTTTGCGAAAATTTCTTAATATTTAATAGTAATCATAGGAAAAATTCATTATTTTTATGATTTTACAAAATTTTATATATTTTTTTGATTTTATTTTAAAATTTTTTATTACTTTTAATAGTATATACCAACAATATATAATCAAGAAGCTGCACAAAAGTAAATGTACATAAATTTTTAAAGCATATTTTTCATATTTTGTTAAAGCATCACAAAGGTAGTATACCTCGAGCTCCACACTGCAGTAAAATGGCTTTTGAAATCTATTTAAATTAAAAATAAATATTTGACTTAAGCCTGCAAAAATAATATATGCAAAAAATTAAAGTTTTTAATTGCATTATTAAACTCAAGATTCTATGATTTTGTTTTCCCTAATTATTATATTATTGATTTTTTTTAATTTGTTCTTAATCAAATTATATTTTTCTTTTCTACATAAAAATAATATATAATATATTGTTATTAAATTTTTAAAGAATGTTTTTAAGTAAACTTTTAATTATAAGTAAACAATAACTAAAAATCATATGTATGTTTGTATAAAATATAAAAATTAAAAATATTAAAAAAAAAATCAAAATGTAAATAGCTAATTAGTGATAAGTGTAGAGTAGAATTTTTTTAAAAATTTTTATATGTAAAATAAAATTGGACAACCTAAAACCGGTTTAATACTGGAAATTTTGATTTTTATTCATTATTATACTTTTATAAAAATCTATATCCTTAAATAAATCCTGAATTCAATCATTCAATTTATATGAAATTACAGCGACTGATAAAATTTTTAAATTTATAAAATATTTTTATAATATTGAAATAAATCTAAACTGTGCATTTTTGATAGAAGCTTTTCTTTTAATAAAATATGCAAGTAATTCAGGAAATTCGAATGATTTAATATTCATTGAAATACAGTAGGTTTAGAAAACTAAAATTCAATAAAATTCATTGAAATACAATAGGTAAGCGAACTAGAAAACTAAAATTCCAATATAAGCAAATTTGAGAAAAAATTCGAATAAATAACGAAATTCCTACTTAGTCACATATTTTTCAGTGCAAGGGATGTTGAACCATCAAGCTAAAAACTTTTTAATTTTTTTAATTTTCAAGTCTTAACTTAAGCTTAATTCATCAAACAGATACGTCTAGCTTTCAATTTTTCCCTCTTTGACTTTATAAAAGAAGTTGTAATATTTGAAGAGGCATCCTATATGTATTTTTGATACCGGTTAACGGTATATTTTAGAACCAAGAAATTCAACAATCAATATTATTATATTTTTTACTTATAAATTTATTCTTACATTTAAATTATTTCAAAAATTTTTGTGCACATAAATATTAATGCATACAGTTTACCCAAAAATCATAAGTATTAAATTATGAACTATTTTTGTGGAATTATTTTCTCTTGCGCTTTTTGACTACCAGTGTGTCTTTTCAAATGATGATAATTTGGTAAAACTCTCCTTAAATAGTCTATTTGCAAAATTTGCAACTAAAAATATAAATTATTAAATAACAAGTTTGATTATAATAAGTAAATTAAAATTGATTCACTTACCGTTGGTTTTTCTAAACATTCTCTCATCAAACAGTTTTTCCCATAAACTACGGTATTTTCAGCTAATTTGTATTTACCTTCCAAACGACAACCTGCACCAATTACACATCCGCTTGACACTTCTACTTCATCAGAAACGAAACTTTTACATTCAAAAACGTTTTTATCACCAATTTTTAATGCTTTTACTGTACATCCAACTTCAAATACATTATTTGATCCTATATTTAGCATAGGGGTATTGTTTTCATCTTTGAGATGCTCTGGTACTTTAAAAATAATAGTTGAATATTCCTCAACAATACAGTTTTCACCAAAGAATATAGGACCAGATTCCGCAATTATAGTTACACTAGGTTGAATGACACATCCACTGGAAATGGTGATATCACCTTTTGTAACAATATCATAACATACTATTGCTCTTGGCATAATTTTTAATCTGAAAACGATATTTCTTAAATAATTATATTTTATATTAATCATTTCATCAAAATATACCCATCCTCCATAATTTTATTTTTGGAAATTAGATTTTTTTTTCTACTTTAACTAGAAAAATTATTTTTGAAAAAATATGTTTATATGTCAAAAATTGAACACAAAAAATACTTGTTTTTGACATACCAACAAACCTTGGATTTTTAGAAATTTTTATCTATGTATGTACCTTCTAGGGTTACCGCATTTTATTAAAATTTTGTATTTTAAATTTTTTTTTTTTACATATGTATTTAAAAAATCTTAAATTTTTCTAGAGCAGTATTTCAAAACAATAAATACTAAACACTAATTTGTCGTAAAAGCGCTGCAAATTGTTTACTGTAATATATATACAGAAACTTCTAAAAAAAATCTAAAAGCCACTGTCAAAAAAATCAACGCACACTTTAATAGAAAGTAAATTCGCAATTCGTATTTAATTTTTCGATCTTAGAAGATGCAAAAGGAAATTATTAAATTTCAATTGAAATATAAAAAATATCGTAAACTTTTAATAATCAAAATTTAAATATTGCGGAATTCAAAATTTACATAAATGAGCTATCTATGATTGTTAAAAATACAATTGAAAATACATTGCATGCCTATAACATTATGTTTTTGCAATATTACGTTTTGCGATTACAGTTTTGCAGTATTGCACGACAATTGAAATGAACTCGACATAAAACTGTGTACATAATATGTAAGTTAATTATATTGTGTTCGGAAAAGTTTAAATAAAATATTAGTTTTAATTTAATAAATAGTAACTAAGCTATTGTTTATATAAACGACAAAATCTACGATTTAAGCGGTTCTAATGAAAATCGTATATGTTAAATCTGTTTGAGATCAGACTCCTTACCATGTAAATAACTCAATTTTCGTGTTCGTAAAAAAGGTACTATGTAATTCGAAAATCGAAACGTTTCCCTTTAGAAAATCGAGTACATTTATTTTTGTGTGTTTGAATGTGCATTTTGCTTATTATGTGTAATTTTCTACTTTCGTGTAATTTTTGACATTTTTTATTCAAACGCTATTTCGTTGTAGGAAGGTATAAAATTTCAATTAAAATATTAAAACGGAAATATTTCAAAAAATATTCAGGGAAAAAATATTTAATTTTTAAAGTGTTCTTTACTATTTTACAAATAATGAGTTGAAATTGACCTCAATTAAAAATAATGGTGGATTTTCTGAACAACCACAAGGAATCTACCAAAGAGTACTATCGAATTATTTAGATATGTGTTCCATCTATGGGACCTATGAGTCCTGGATATTTTTCTTTTTGTTTAAAATATTGTTTCGCTTCCCTTTGTTCAGCTTCTACAGTTTCAGTTTTATTTATTTGACGGCAAATAATAGAAATTACTCTGTAATCTATTCTAATCAATCTGTCAGATTATTTAAAAAATGAGCGAAATTTAATTCTTGCGAAAGTTTTAAATGACAAATATCTTACTTTTTCTTTTACTTTACTCAGCTTATAAATTACTTTTTACTGAACAAATTACATATTAGTGATTTACAAATAAGTTACATCAACAAAAATAAAACATGATAAATGAAAAATTTTGTTCTCTTTCAAACATCTCAACAAATTACTGTTTACATTATTGTGTTGTCATTCAATTTCATACTTTCCACTAATCGAGTATTAGAGCTTATTATGCACCCATTTCCAATTTCAACTTTTTCTGAAATATAGCAATTGCATCCAATTACATTCCTTTCACCTATCTTTAAAGATTTTATTGTACATCCGTTTCCAATTACAGTATTTGCTCCAATTTTCATAACACCTCTTTCTTCACTTTTTAAATTTTCTGGCACCTTAAAAATTATAGTGGAATTTTCACCAATGATGCAGTTCTTTCCAAAAATTATTGGTCCTGATTCTGCAGTAATCGTAACTTTGGGATGGACAATACATCCATCATAAAATGTTATATCACCTTCGCCATTAATTTCATTGATTGGAATAACTGCTCTTACCATTTTTAATTAAAATTATTTCTTTTCCTTTTTCTTTGTAAAGCTAATTCCAAAATAAATAACATTAGTTAAATTAATTTCAAAACTGTCTACTTGGTTCTAAATAATAGTACATCAGGGTTGCTAATTGTAATCAAGCAAAAGTATCAAAATTTTAGTAAAAAAAGTAGCATAAAAGCGAAAATTAAATTGAAAAAGTAGCACAATTTATTTCATCCAAAGTACTGTTTCGAAAGACGAAAATTATTTCTTTATCAATAGAAAGGGGTAAACCATAGACATCATTATTATCAAGACTTCTTACATGATGTACTAGAGAGAATAAAGTTGTCTGTTATAAAACATAGATTTATTATATCTTTTTCATAAACAATCTTGAAGTGTAATAGGTAAACATTATTTTCAGGTTTTCAAGCTGACATAGTAAAAACGCAGCATGAGTTTCTCGCTGACTTCAAGTTAAGTTAAGTTAAGCTGCCATATAAGCTTTTTTAAGTATATAATGGAACAGCGATTTTTCAATGGTTATATAATGAAAAACTGTTGAAAATTTTTTAATTGTTAATTTTACACACAATCTAATATAAATATAATTAAGAAAAATGTTAAGAGTTCTTTACTTTTGCATACATGTCTGTGGTAACAAAGGAAATCATCCACCGTTGTCGTTCACGGCTTGGTTCTGCTTTACAGTAAAATAGGAATTTAGGCTATTTTATGCGAGCTGTTAAATTTACGGCGGTAATTTCACTTGATTCTGGGTAGCCCCGTTTGAATATATGTATTCTATATGAATTTTGATTATTTTGAGTATGTCGAGTTTTTGTGAAGCGTCTCGAAAATCGAATAATAATCGATTGTTCTCTTTTCAATCAAAAATTGAAGTTTTTGCAATATGACAAATTGACTTTTCTTAATCGTATTGTCAATACTGTCAAATTGTAAATTTTAGTACATAACAATAAACGAAAGGGGGTGGTTAAAGATATCATCAATCGTGGGTTAAATCAAATTTTAAGACGTGTCTTGTGATATGAGAAATTTTATTTAATTTACTTTTAAAAAATTTTAAATTTCTATTTCATATTTATATTTCTAAAAAAATACTAAGGTAACTTTAGAATCTTGGTCTAGATATTAAAAAAATAGTTCAAGTAAATTATTTATTTTATCTTGACTTGAGGTTAGCTTTATCAGACCTAATTTTTTTCAACTTTAGAATTTGAGATAACTTTCAAACCTCGGTTAAATAAAGGTCATAACTGAAAAGATTATGTGTATGATATATTTTTTAAGAAATTGTTAGTTTATCAAAAGAATTTTTTTATATAATGAAAGATCACGTTGTAAACATGAAATTTTAACCGGTAAATGCATTTCTGATGCAATAATTACCTATATAACATTTATGTGTATATGCACAAACCCTTATATGGGTGTTTCAATTTTATTATAAGATACTTAGTTGATATTTTCATTTCACGTTATTTTAATATTCCAGATTTAATAATAGTTCAGTTTATTTTTAACTATTTACGTTCCTACCTATCCTTCCATTTTGAATAAGAAGTAGGCATAAACATTCCGATACGATATTGAAAATGAAATTCGTAACTAAATTTTTATTTAAAAAATAATTCATATATGTATGTACGTTGTTTTTCCAGAATTTTCTACTAAAAATTAAAAATGGTTTTGGATACGGAGTCTGCACAACCAGAAAATCCTGAACAATCAAAAAAAGCAGCAAAGAAATTGGCTAAAGAAGCTGAAAAGGCAGCTAAGGTAGGTACCTACCTAAAAATCTTAATATGAAAATACAATAATAAAAAAATATAAAATTTAATAATAGAAAGCAGCACACAAAGCCGCATCCCAAAAGGAAAATGATACTCAAGAAGAGAAAGAGGATGTATCTTTAGGTAGATATGGCCAAATGAAAATGATCCAATCAATAGAAAAGCACGAAGAAAGAAATTTTATTAAAGTTGTCGATTTAAAAAATTATATTGGAAAAGACAATATCTGGGTAAGAGGTCGAGTGCATACATCTAGAAGTAAAGGAAAACAATGTTTTTTAATTTTGCGACAAAATAGTAGCACCGTGCAATGTATTGCTGCAGTTAGTGAAAATATTTCGAAACAATTGGTAAAATTTGTTGGAGGGTAAATAATGTAATTATTTTTATACTTTTCTTTAAATAACTTCGAATATGTTTTAGAATTTCTAAGGAAAGCATTATTGATATTAAGGTGTCAGTGGTTCAAGTTCCAACAAAAATAGAATCTTGTACAGAGCAAACTTTAGAACTCTCAATTGCTGAATGTTTTGTAGTATCTGCCGCTAAGCCGCAGCTTCCTTTACAAATAGAAGATGCTTCAAGGCCGGAAAACCCTGACGTAAATAGAAACACTATAATTTTAAATTTGTTTATGAAGTAGCCATTTCTTAAAATTATTATAGGATCCTGAAAGTTTAAATATTAGAGTAAATCAAGACACTCGCCTCGATAATCGTGTACTGGATTTGAGAACACCTGCGAATCAAGCTATTTTTCGTTTAGAGGCCGGAGTTTGTAAACTTTTCCGCGATATACTTACAGAACAAGGTTTTACGGAAATTCATACCCCAAAAATTATTTCAGCTGCAAGTGAAGGAGGTGCTAATGTTTTTACCGTTAGCTATTTCAAAGGTAATATGCAGTTTTTCCTCTCAGCCATATTTAATTTTACCAACTTTTTCTTTTAGATTCTGCTTATTTAGCCCAGTCACCTCAACTTTACAAGCAAATGGCAATCGCTGCAGATTTTGATAAAGTTTTTACAATTGGAGCGGTATTTCGTGCTGAGGATTCGAACACACATCGCCATTTGACTGAATTTGTTGGCGTTGATTTAGAAATGGCCTTTAAATATCATTATCATGAAGTTTTAAATACTATCGGAAATACATTTACTGCTATTTTCAAAGGTCTGCGTGACAACTATCAACATGAAATCGATGCAGTTTGTCAACAGTATAGAGTTGAGCCATTTAAATTTTTAGAACCACCTTTGGTGTTGAAATATTCCGAAGGAGTAGCAATGTTAAAAGATGTTGGTAAGGATATATTTTGTACAATAAAAATTCAAAACTAATGTTAAAACAAATACTTAACATTTCTCTAAAAATTAATGACTAGGCGTTGAAATGGAGGATACGGAAGATTTATCAACTCCAAATGAAAAGTTATTAGGACGCTTGGTTAAAGCAAAGTACGATACAGATTTCTATATTCTTGATAAGTTTCCATTAGCAATTCGACCTTTTTATACTATGCCAGATCCGGTCGACCCAAAATGGTCAAACTCATACGATATGTTTATGCGTGGTGAAGAAATAATATCTGGTGCCCAGCGTATTCATGATCCAGAATTTTTAACAGAAAGGGCGAAGCATCATGGAATAGGTGATATATTACAGTTTTCAATAATAACTCCTTTTTGATATCCTTTTATTTTCAGATATTTCAAAAATTGCGGCATATATAGAAGCTTTCCGTTTTGGGTGTCCCCCACATGCTGGCGGTGGAATAGGCTTAGAACGGGTTGTTATGCTTTACTTAGGCCTTGATAACATTCGGAAAACTTCAATGTTTCCTCGAGATCCAAAAAGAGTTACCCCTTAAATATGAATGGATTATAAAAGTTTGGTTTTTTCTTCAATGAATTTAGTTTGTACTAACTTTAGCGCCCAATTATTTCCTCAATTTTATTTAAAAGTCAAAAAAAAGTGTTACTTAACGTAAATGTAGTAAATGTAAGCATAATTTTTTTATTATTTTATAACTTAAATGACAAAAATAAATAATCCTAAAACCTCTTAAAAACTTGTTTTAAGAATTCTATGTATTTGAAGAAAACTGATTCATTTCCTTTTCAAAAACTTCTATGGTGTGATCACAAACTTTTTCCAAGTCCTCCAGTCCTCTTTTCAAAATATCTATTGCTCTTGTATTTTTGTTTGTTGCTTGAATTCGAAAATGCATTTTATTTTCTGCTGGATGGGGTATTGTGTATCCGCAAAACTTAACATCGGGGCTGAAAGTGGTGTAGAAACAAGTTTGAAAAAGTGTTCTTATTGCAAATTACAAGTTTTGAAAATAATTGGGATATCTAGCCACATAATCATGCAATTGAATTTATAATAAAGAAATCTTACTATCTACTAATAATAAATTTCAGTGAATTGCCTAATGTATGATTCTCATTTTCAAAAACAAATGTCCTAGAGCTTTCTCCATTGTTTTCATCTCCAGCTAACTGAAATCAAATAAGTAAATAAAACACAATTTGTGATTTTATTATTTATACTTCAGCTAAAGCCCCCATAGTCTTTTAAGCAACTTTAAAAAACAAAAACTTCACTTATTTTATTTCTTTTTTTTTGTTTTTAGATTTAGAAAAACACTACACGTGATAATGATAAATAGTCCAATTATGGTTATTTCGGCAACAATAATATCATAAAATTATATTTTTGACATTTTTTGTAAATGAGTAACACTAGCAACGCCGAAAAAATCTTTTGTTATATTAATGTGGCAATGCTAATAAATTTGAAACATTATTGTACTGCAAATATTATAACGCTTTCCATCCACTATTTAACTTGGTCGATCAACACATTGAAAACATAACAAGTTTTTAACACGTCGAATTGCTGGTGGACTAGTTGTTCAAGCATTTGGTGGTTGAAACTTGGCTGAAGAAGTAATTAAAAAATTTTAAATTTTAAATTATTCAACGTGTTAAAGGACCAAGTTGAATAGTGACCCGAAAGCATTATAGACTGTAATTTCACAAAATTCAAGAAATATTTTGTAAATGAAAATTACCTTTAACGATGATTATACGAATGATAATTCTAGGTATTAGAACTAAATTTATGAGAGTTCAGTACGTCTTTGAAATAAATTATTGCAATGGTTAAATGCACTTTTTCTAGGGATTGCTGTCATGTCAATCATCAAATTCTTTCTTTTTAACGTATTATAATATAAACACGAGATAATAACGTAAGGCTATCATAGTTCTCAGTTTTGGTTGGAATTTTGCAATATTTCTAATTACGTATTTTACCTAATTAGGTATTTTGAAACAATTTTCAAAAATTTCTATATAAAATACATAAAATGTATAAGAAAATAAAAATGGCAAAAGAATCAGTAAGAATTGAGTGTTCATTACAATGAAAATTCAATGAAAATTTTGACACATTTATTCAAATTTCTGTATCAGTCAAACTGGAGAGAAGAGAAAAACAATTTTTGATGCATAAACGAAATGCAATTTTTTATTTAGTCATTTATAATACAAAAGAGTTGAAAGTATATTAGCCATTTATATTATAGCAATTATTTTGGCTCTAAAATTTTTTCTAATATTTTTTTAAATTCGCACTGTCATATTGTATTGTCCTCCCATAAAATTTTTATAAAATGCACTCGTATTTTTTCCAAGCACAAAATGGTGTCGTGTGCTTTAAAATTTAAAAAACTTAAATTATATTAAAAATATATTATATGTAATTTAAATTTCTGACTATAGAGGGTCTTTTGTGTTTGTATAATTAAAATTACGTTTCTGTAACCTGAGAGAGTGGAAAGATATGTTGTTAAAATAACGGTAATAACAACATCACTGTTTTTTTCTAAAATATTTTTGGAAACTTATAATATTTCTGAGAAATATGTACCTATGTATATACAGAATTAAAAATTAAAAAAATACACTCAGGTAAGTACACGTAATATATTGCAAATGAATAGTTTTTTATAATAAATACCATTTAATTATTTTAAAATATCATATGTACATTCATATGAATATTACCGGTATTCATATTGCATGACATTTTTATGAATAATAATTATAATAATATTTTAACTCAAAAGATTATAGAAGTTTTCGCGAAAAATTTATGACGTACTTATTTGAAAAGGATAATATTATGCAAGAAGTTATTGTGTATGGATTTAATAATTACTTACATATTATTTCTTAAATTGCATTTACATACAACCAATGTTTTATTGATTTTTCAAAAGCAAAATACATACATATATGACTATAATTTTACAATAACATTTAGTAAAAACTTTTTATTAAAAAGTAAAGAATCTATAATAAAATCACAAATTGTATACACGACAATATTTTTGAGTACATACTTTGTATTATAATAAATACATTGATTGTATATAGAGTATACTTTTGTTATATACATGTATAAAACAATATGTCATAATTACATATGTACATATATTTAAGGGCTAATTGCTTAAATGAACAAAGTAGTTAAAATATCAACAGTTGATGATTGAATATTAAAGTGTAAAGTTGATATTTTTTATTCAAGTCGGTTAAAAATAATTAAAAATATTCAATTTAAGGCAAAATGAATTTATTTCATCCTCCAGCTTCATAATTTTTAAATAATTAACATATATTTATGAATTAATGTAAATCATTATTTAGTATAACTAGAATTCTGAACACTAATTTCATAGAATGAGAATTAACTAGAAAAATATAAAGGCCAAAAGTTGCTAATCAGTTACGAAAAATTTATATTTTTCGAAATGCAAATAAAATAAATAATAAAGAAATTTCAAAAATAATAAAATATACTTTTAATAATATGAAAAATATTTAAAACTTTTAATTTAAAAATCAAATTAATTGATATTGAAATTCCATAAAAAAATATTGTTAATGGTGTAAAAGAATTGCTAATTGAAATTATTTATTTTTTCTGTTGAACATTATGGCAAATTTAAATGAAAAAAATGTACGAATATTACAAATATTAGAAGGACATAAAAGTGATGTTACCTGTATTGAATTCTGGGGTAATGTACTTTTATTTACGGGATCAAGGTAATTTTATTAATTAGTAATTTGTGTTGTATACTTGTATATATTTATAGGCACCATTTATATAATTAATTAATAACATATCCATTTGTAATTACTTGTATATATATTAAATCTAAAGTAATATAATAATTATCATCATTATTTTAATTTCATTTAAAACATTATCAAACTATCATTTTAATTACAAATTAGAAGCTATATTGTATAATACACATATGAATTTATACTAAGAGAATGGGGATCAATATTCTGTGAAATCAATTTTTAAAATCAAAATTACTCATTTTTTTTATGTAAATAACTATTGTAATTTTACTGAAATACCAACACAAATATACATAAGTATTTACTCATCATTAACCATTAATTAATTTTCGGGTAATTATTCATTTAAATAGAAGATATGACAATAAGATTGAGATTTCTATGGAATTCTAAAAAAAAAAAATTAATAAAATTACTAAATTAGTATTGGACACTGGTACAGATAATTATTACAGATATAGATGTATACAATTACTAATATATATATATATATGTATATATATATATATATATATATATATATATATATATAAAGGTTTAAATTGTTAATAATACCCATATATTATATAGTTGATAGCTACACTTGATGCTTATTTTAAACATCGGAAATTCACATTTAACATACTACATAAGACTCAGTCATAAAAGTTATCTTACTGAGAGTCTTTTCGATATGGTTATCCTTATATGCCTCATTAAATTTCAATCTCACTACGTTAGTGTGCAGGTTGAAAATTGTTATACAAAAATATAGCACAATAACTTACTGATTAATGATTATATAAAGCAATTAGGAAACTTCTTCAAATCATGTTCTATAAAACGTGAGTCCCATTTTATTTTGTTTTTGATCTTACGCCCTTCTGTACATATCTTACCGGGTTCTCTATTATTATATACAAAATATCGTATAGGCTCAAATATTTTTGATTTATTTAATGACTTTGCGTGTATTAGGCGCTAATGTAGTCCTTAAAATTAATTAAAATTTTTATTGATTATATCATTAATTTTCAATTAAGTAATTTACAATGATTCTATTATAATGTCTATTGTAATTAACTAGGAATCTGAATTGAAACGCTCATACTTAATCGCATATACCCTATAATAAATTTATTTTTTATACACAATTAACTAGAGGTTATGATTGCAAATGAAAATTATTAAAAAAAAATCAAATCTATAATTTTCAATAAATGCACTTCTATTATTTATTCAAATTTTAGACATTAAAGTATATTAAATCAAAAATATTCCTAGTTTATTTAAATATTATAAATACAATATATTGTATAACCAGAAAAGAAATCGATTATACTATGTAAAAGCAAACAATTTGTGAATATTTAAAGGACGAAAGAAAAAAAATGTAATAATAAATCATTAATGATATTTTATTCTTTGATAATTTTATTGACCTTTCACATGCTTGTACTGAGTGCAAAAGAATGTTTAAATATTCACGCGATTTTTGTTTATTTTAACTCATACGATATAAACAGGGTCCTATGCTTACATAAATGCATATGTGTAATTCTTTTGCAAGGAGCTTGAATACGTAACAATTGACAATATGATAAGAAAATGCACTTATAAGGTCTATTAGGACTTATTAGAACTTAATTACAAAAGTAAATTGCTTTTTCCTATATACATATGTATATATTTTTCAATGTGGCAGCGAAATTAGTTTATTCTTTTCAACTATATGTTTCTCGAAATTCAAATAAGCCCACAAAGCTGTCTGTAATTAAATTGAAATGAATAAAAAGTAAGTACTCATGAATTCAAAAAATTTTTTATTGCAGCATTTAAAGCTCAAGCGGCACTAATTAATTTAACACTTAATTGTCTCGTTTTTATTCAAACCCTCAGTCTCACCTATTTCAGGTGAGACACTATAAAAATCATCCTTCAGCTGCATGTAATATGTAAAATATATTATTTTCTTTTTGATGTTTATGTTCCACAAACCATTAATTAACAATTAAGGATATGGTATATTTTTAGAAAAATATTTATTTGTATTTATTTTGTATAAACGGCTATATGAACTCTTTTATAAACATATATTTAATTATTTGTTATATAAGAATATATTTGTCAATAATTCATAAAAATTAAGTGCTTACAGAGTCATTTAATATTGTAATTATTTTATATGTTTACAACCTTACAGAATAATAATTGAATTATTTTTGTAATATTACTTTTTAGTGTTTAATATGTAGAAAGAAATCAATGGGAATAATTAAATTTTTATTATATTAATGTTTTTGTTGTGTTAACCAGTCGTGTCAACTAATTTTATTTCATGGTGTCTATTTCACGTATATTTTATATACATAATATTAAATTTAATTGCTATAAATCATAAAACTAAATAATGATTGATTATAGTATAATCATTGAATATGCAATAATTATTCAATATTCTGCTTTAAATTACTATTGATGTTGTCGATTTATAGTCAATATTTTAATATGCTTTTACAATTTTTTTTTCATTTTAGAAGCACATAATATATTCATATTAATAGAAATATTTTGAGGAATGAAACACTCATTTATTCCTTGAAATAATAATGACTTATTAAGAATTGCTTTTTATATAAAAAATGTTCAGAAATTTTTCAGGACAATCAAATTTACGAAAATTTTCAATAGCCTCAATTTGTATCTACATATTTGAGTTTAACGTATTGTTGTTCACTTTATCATTTTTGTAGTTAAATATTTTGTGTAATTGCAATTTGAAATAATCTTGTTTTGATTTATAATAAAAAATATATGTATTTCTTTTTCTTTAGTGATAAAACTATTCGATTATGGAAATGGATAGTTGGATCTGGTTTTGTTGAAGAATCGATATCACCATTAAGAGGACACACTTATGGTGTGACCAGTGTTAAAATATCACCTCATGTAAGTATTTAAGTATTAAAATACACAAGTATTTCAGATACATATTTACTTAGCATACATAATGTAAAAATTAAGTAAAAATTTATGATATTTATTTAGTATGTATAAGAATAGTTCATACGTCACATTCACATGTTGGTTTGTTATAAATTTTTAAAAACGGACACGTATTAAAGATTTTGAAATTATTACATTGTTTTTCTATTTAATATCCTTGTTTTTCATACAAAAAACTTTGCGTGTACATATTAAAAAAAAAAAGAACAGAATGCTAATTTCTCATTATAAATATATTAAATAAAAAAATATAAATAATTTTTGCATTTCCCTTTGTTGTAATACTTTGTATTTGCTCTTATAAGTAGCTTCATACATAACTATTAAGTAATTATATATGTACATGTACATAATATATTGTATATATGTACATATATAAAATTCAGAATTTCTATTTGATAGATTTAAAAAATATGATTTGTTTTTCAACTAACTATATTCAAAAAACCAGCTGCAATATAACGCAATAAATTGTAACGTACACAATAAATTGATTTATAAAAATAAGATTTATATTCATTTTGATTGAAAGTAACATTTACAAACATATTATTTAATACAAAAAAAAATTATTTATTTTAGAAGAACACATTTAAATATTCAGCAGGTATATTACACTCATTTTGGTATTGTCTAAATTTACAAGCGTATTTATTTCTTTCGGGAATTAAATTTAAACTATGAAAAGTATGAGCTAAGTAACTGTAAACATCTAAAATTTTTGTATGATTTTCTAGTTTTTTAAAATATTTAATAATAGTTTGAATTATACTCATGGAATCATTAATATTTTGAATTTTCTCTTCTATTGTTGCTGCAGACGCAACCAGACATTTAATAAATACAAAATACGTTTTTGCTTTATCATATATTCCACCGTTTGCCAAAATAACTTCCATGCAATTGCGAATGGTACAAAAAGCTTTTTGTGACATACCATTCTCTAATAAAATATAGGCAAACATCATGTCAATAATAGCCGCTTCATACTCTAAATACTCATCTTTACTTATTTTTGAAGCTTCACCTAAAATATCAATAGTTTGAGCTGATATACCATCAGGATTGATCATACTATATGCCAATAATATTGAAGCTCGAACTTTTGTTAAAGAATCTAAATTTTGATCTTCTAATAGTTTATCAAGAATTAATCTGGCTATCGCAACATTTCGCTTAGTGATATAAATTGAAGCTCGTTGTAATATACTTAATTTATTGTCAAATATATATAATTGACAACAGGCTGTCATACCTTCTTGCCAAAGGCATCTGTGCACACATTGTGTAATTGTAATATAGTTGTCACATAACATCCAATTATTTGCTAAAGGGGTTCTTGGAAATCTTTCTTTAGTATGATGGAGAACTACTGCAGATAAATTATATTCTCCCTGAAAATTAAAAAAACAATATAAATATTTTAGAAATTTTAAATTTTCTTTAAATTTTACCTGCTCACTCAACCATAAAGCTAAAGAACATAAGACTTTACAGACACTTTCACTATTTCCATAATCCCCAAATATCCAGGTTTTTTTAAGTTTTAATAGAAGTTGAGAGCAAATTGAAGCTATTTCATTTTTACCATATAACGTCCATAGAGCTGAACGTATTGCCAGAGAACTGCCAATATATTCGATCAATGAATTTCGACAATTTATTTTATCACTTTTCAATAGCATTTGAAAAAGATCTGAAGGACGATACCCGCAGTTCGCCGCAACCTTTACTACAAATTGAATACTTAGAGTAAGTAATTCAATCATTCCCAAATCATTCTGATCTGGTAAACATTTATCTAATGGATCAATATTTTCTGAATTCAAAATGCAATACCAAGCATTTGCTAAATCTAAACATTGTTTATCCCCGTATTCTTGCGCTAGCATAATACATTCTTTTAAACTTTTCAAAGCTTCAGTTTTATGATCAAAACTGGCATGCATTATTGCCAGATTTAAACTGGAATATTCAAATCCACGTTGATCTGGTGTATTATTATTTTGAACTGGATTTCGATCGAATGTTCGATATAGAGCATCCAGAGAACTAAAATAATCATGAAGGCGCAAATAATTCATATATGACAAAAAGTATGCTTGAGAAAATAAAGGATTATCTTGGATAATTTCATTAAGTTTACTATGTAAGTCAATTGGTGACAACGCTCTTAGTTCATTATTTTCCAAAAGTAAACATTGTTGCGCTATAAACAATTCTGCTTGTTTATAGGACCACTTACTATGACTATTACGATCTCTATGAACCATGTTTGTATCAAGAATTTCATCAGATATATTAAGATCTGTTTGGCTTTCAATATTCGAATCCGCTCCTAGAAAAAGTAGTTTTTTATCATAAGTTTTATATTTTGTGTTAACGATGATTTACCTGAAATAGCTAGAGCTCTAATTCCTTTTTCATAATATAAGCTTATACTTTTATAAAGTGCTTTCATTTCAGCGAATGTTAATTTTTCTAAAATAGCTATAATTCGCCTTATATATAATCCTACAATTGCAAACTGATTTACATGTGTGGCACTGGTTCCCTCTGACAATAGTTTGTCCATTACCGATTGCATATCAAATAAATCTAATAAATTTTCTATTCCTAGAATATTTAATTCGCTCATACATTTTTCAAAACCTTCTAATTGTATGGGATCGATTTTATATTTTGCTGATGTTAACATGTTGTGTAACTCTTTATAACTCATATCAGGAAACTGAATTAATTTTAACAAAAGCATACAAAATCTTCTTCTTGTATGAGGAGATAATGAACCTTTTCCATCACTACCGGCATTTTCAGCAACACTTTGTTTAACCTTGAAATAAAAAATTATTAATAATTGTACTCAAAAAGAAATTATACAAAATTTTATTTTTTACTTTCAAATATTGTTGAACAAGTAGAACAACAGCTATTTTGTGTGGTGTTAAAACATCTATTCTACCTAAAGGCGGTTTACTTGAATCGGGGTTCAGAATTTCTAGCTCTCTTTTTGTATGGGAATCAAGAACCATGATTTTAGGTATTACAGTTTTCAAATATAATGAAGGACGTTTTAATTAAAAATTTTTATGCTTTCAATACTTAAACAAAAATAAAATATTGTAAAATTAATAAATCATTGATAAAACAATTTTCGGTTGTGTTATATGAATGAAAATAAAACAAAACATTATGACAACTGACAATGACTTTAATGTTGAAGGTAGGTGTAGCAACTAGTTATATTGATAGAGGTTATACAAAATTATAAAATTTTCATTCACAATAGCTCATTTTATTTTGAAAATGAATTCACGATTAACAAAATTGACAGACAAATTACTGTTAGAAACATATTTTTATTTTTTATGTTAATTTTAAATATGAAATTTCAATGTTAAGATTTTTTTTTAAATTTTTTGATGTTCAAGTATAAATATCTTAATTAATAGTTATCAATAAATATTATATTTATGTGTTATATAATTTTAGGGAGGTGTTTTAGCATCATCATCAAAAGATGGAAGTATAATATTGTGGGATATTTCCAATGGAACTAAAACGAATATCCTATATCAAGAAAATGGAGAGGGTATAAGATGTTGTTCATTCAGGTATAATATAAAATCAACATCAGAATTTATTATATCAATAATTGATAGTTGCGACATTTGTCTAATAAAACTTTTTTATTTTTGAAGCCCGAATGGAGAATGTATAGTTGCGGCCGGCGATTGTGGTACAATTTGTATATGGAATCAAGATAAAAATTTAGTCAAGTAAAAAATTAAGAAATTAATGTCAATTTTCTTCTTATAAAATATTATTTAATTATACATATATTTTTTATTTCTAAAGAACATATCATTATCATGAGGAAACTATTTATACTATGAGTTTTTCATCAGACTCTAATATTTTACTAACCGGTTGCAATGATGGTCAAATTCGTTTGCTAGCTATAAACAAAACTACTGAAAATAATGAATCAAATCCAATTAGTAAAATTTAATATATGTTTCTAATAAATATGAATTAATTTTAATTTTTAATATTTATTTAGATCCAGATTATGACTGTGGTATAGATAATGCACATGATTTAGGAGTGACTTCATCAGATTTTTTTAAAACAGTTCACACAGACCGTAAAATTTTTAAATTTTTTATTTTCTTCATTTGATATTTTTTTTATAGCTTTGAATCGAAATACAGGAATATATACAGCAATAACTGGTGGAACAGATCAATTAGTTAAAATTTGGAGAATTTTCTTTCTTATAGAAAAATCTGATAATATTGATGAAATAAATCGTTTAATACCAGGTTTAGGTGATCATGAATCAAATTTATCAACGATCTACAGTACAAAATCAATGAATGCTGAATGTGTGCAAGTGATCAATTGTCATGGTAGCTCTATAACATGTGTTAAGTAAATTTATAATAATGAAATCATTTAGAAGTACATACGAATATTTTTTTTTCTTTACTATTTTTTAGACTTAACAAACGCGGTACAATGTTTATGACTGCAAGTTTAGATAAAACAATTAAATTGTGGAACAATCAAGGAAAATTGATTAATACTTTAGTTAAACATAAAAGATATGTGAATTGTTTAAGTATTAATGATTCATCAAATATATTGGCTTCTGGTTCAAATGATAAAAATGTTATAATATGGGATTTAACATCATCATTAACACTTGAATCTCATATTGCTAGATTAAGTTCAATGATATTTAATTTGGCATCAAATGATAGAAATGTTATACCATCAGAATTTTTATGCCCATTAACACATGAAATTATGAATGACCCTGTGATTTTAGAAGATAAATTTACTTATGAAAAATCTGCAATTAATGAATGGTTCAATTCTAATCAAAACAAATCACCAATAACTAATGAAGAATTAAATCCAATGAGAATAATGGACAATATTGAATTAAAACAAAATATTGAAAATTTTTTGAAGTCAATGGATTTTGATAGTTTTAATACGGTCAACTTAAATGAAAATGAATAATATTTTAAAGCAGATTATGATAATTTAAAAGCTGCTTTATGACAATATAAAAATAATAACATGATATAGAAAATAATTAATTCATTCAAATTGTTTAACGATCATATAATAATTAATTCATTCAAATTGTCTATATATTTCATATAGAGCTACCATAATATTTTTAATGTATGTTCATAACTAATATCTATGCCAAAAATTTAGACTTATTCTTATTTTAACTCCTTAACGTGCTAAAAAATTTTATGTCCTTATTATATAGATAGATATCTTATAAACGTTATATAGCAAAAGCTAAATTAGATGTTCCTGTTCGAGTACTTAGATCTATAAAAGCTAAGCTGAAGCCCATGATATATAAATATACCCCATTTGATGTTATAAGATACTCTAAAATTTATGTGCTTAACTAAAATGATGTATTAAAAGTTTTGTTGAAAAAAATTATTCATAAAATAGTCTTTTATTGATTCATAAATCAACTGTATAAGCATACAGTATAATTTTAAAGAAGATATTATATAATTTTATAATACAATATTATATATTATAGTGTATTATGTATTACAATTGTTTAAGTAAATAAATTGTTAAATTTATCATGAATGTAGATATTTTCTTACAATTCATGTAAAATTCATAAATATGAGTAAATATTCTGGATTCAGTATTCTTTGTCGGCTTAGTATGATCAATTAAAAATGATTCAAATGTGATGTATATTGTTAAGTTAAGTTACATGTATGATACGCATGTTAAAATATTTTTAGATAAAATATTGAAAATTTTAATCAGATTTTTTTTTTCCAATACGATTTCTTGCCCAATTTAGTTTTATTTTTATATTTTTAATTTTATATTTTAAGATATCCAATGGAAATCTATTTTAGTCTCCCAACGTAATAGTAAAACTAACCCGATGGTAATAGGTAATTTCAAAGTAATGTTTCTAAATAAAAACAGCGTCATACTATTATAAAAATAAGCACGAATAACTATAACACAAAGGTAAATAAGTAATTATGAGCTACAGTTTTCGCAGTTTGATTACCAAGTGGCAGAATACTGATTTTAATACTATAAATTTAGAATATTATTGCACAGTCAACATATATTAGCATAGAACAGTTCATAAATAAAAATAATTAAGTTATATTCACACATTTTAGGTATAATTAAATTTATTTTTGACTAAACTGCAAAATGTTTTAAAAAAATTAATTCATCTTATCAGTCACGTAATTCTTATTATTCTTATATACATAGTACTGATATGTAATATTTATAAATACGATATATTTTTTTAAATTTAAATTATTTTAAGATTTAATTTAAAATCTTGTTTTCTTTATTTTCATATTATACAATATTTAAATTAATTAATATTTACAATCTTTATGAATTATTATACTCACACATTTTTTTTTTCATTTTAATTTCTGTTTTTTTTTTCATTTTTGGAATTTTATCTAATCTTTTGATACTTTAACTGAGTAAAGGTGTACTAAATCCATGTCATGCAATATATCTATAGCAATATGTATGAAAGTTATATGTTTGTTAATTGTTATATATTTGTTACAAGTTAATTTCGAAATTTTTACTCTAATTGCTTAAATTTAATCTATAAAACAAAATTGGAATTAAAGTGTGGTAAACAAAATGAATATAAAAGTTAAGAGTATATAGTTTAATATTTTACAAGACAAATTTTGGTATACCACAATAACTTCTATTACATCTACAGGGTAGTTCGGACCTGATGCTAAAAAAGAGCTCTTTTAGGAACTATTGTTCGTATGAATTAGGGAATGAGGGATCTCGAAATAATCTTAAATATCTCATAAAATTTCGCCAATTTTTATTTTTTGTTTTATTTTGTTGATATGCAATATTATTATCTACAGTTTGGTCATATATAACTTTCATGTAACACGTACTGTTAATCAGACAATGTCATAATTTTTGTAGAAAGCAGAACTATAATGAAAAATACAAGACAGTGTTTGAATTTTCTAATAAAAAGGCTTAAGTTTTGTAAGACATAAGGAGTCTGAATGCTGTGAAGATATTTTTTTAAATAAATATTTTTATTTTATTCTTCTTCTGCTGCATATCCACTGCTGGATGTAAGCGTGTACCTTTGATGAGTTAGCGAATGCTGGCAACAATATTAGCGTACTCCTCACGATTTGATGCTATATGAACTAAATTTCCAATTGTTCTTATATTTGTCCAGTTTCTAATATTTCGTAACCAGGACATTTGCTTTCTTCCCACTCCTCGTTTGCCTTCAATTCTTCCTTGGATAATTAATTGCAGAAGTTCGTATTTCTGGCCCCTAATTACATGACCAAAATATGCGGCTTTTTGTTTTTTGATTGTCAGCAGTAGTTCTCTTTGTTTCCTTAGTCTGTTCAATACTTCAGAATTTGAGACTCTTTCTGTCCACGATATTTTTAGCATGCGCCTGTATGCCCACATTTCAAATGCTTCAATTTTGTTCATGCTTGATACTTTCAGAGTCCATGTTTCAGCACCGTACATGAGAACTGACCATATGTAGCATCTCATAAAACGCAATCTCAGTTCGATGTTAATACTTCGATTGGTCAATACTTTTTGATAATTCAAAAAGGCGCCCCTCGCCATTTCTATACGACGTTTTATTTCTTTTTCAGAATCCCAGCCTTCGTGTAACATCGATCCTAGATATATGAAGTTGTTTACACGTTCTATGGGTTCATTGTCGATGTAGATGGAAGCGTTCGTATATGGTACGTGTGTTTAGTTACAATCATGTATTTGGTTTTTTTGTTGTTCATGTTTAAACCAAATTTTTTGCTGTGGTGATTTACCTTGTTCATTAGGTGTTGTAAATCTTCGATACTGTCTGCAATTATGGTGGTATCGTCGGCGTATCGAATATTGTTAATAAATGTGCCGTTGACTTTTATTCCTCTATTTTCTTCAGCTATTGATTCTTGAAATATTTTTTCTGAATAGATATTAAATAGCAGTGGTGATAGAATGCATCCTTGGCGAACACCCCTGTGAATGTGAAGATCCGTTGTGGTTATATCTCCATATTTTACTTTTGCAGTTTGTTGCCAATATAAATTTCTAATGCACTGTATATCTTTGCCATCTAAACCCATGTTTTCGAGAATCTCTATTAGTTTGTTGTGCTGAACTCTATCGAAAGCCTTTTCATAGTCGATAAACCCTAGAAATACATCTTTTTGTACATCTTTGCAATTCTGGACGAGTACCTGGATCGCAAATAGAGCCTCACGTGTGCCTAATGCTGATTTAAATCCAAATTGGGATCGTCCCATTGCTTCTTCGCATTTCTTGTATAGTCGATTATGGATAATTCTGAGAAAGACCTTCAAAGTATGACTCATAAGACTAATAAGTCTGTGATCTTTACATTTACGAGCATTATTTTTCTTCGGTAGAGCAATAAAAGTAGATTTGAGGCAGTCTTCTGGAAAAATTGCGGTGTTGTAAATGTTGTTGAATATTTTTTCCAATATTTTGATGTTGTTGTCATTAATTAGCTTCAATAGTTCGGCGGGTACTTCATCTGGACCTACAGCTTTATTATTTTTAGATGAGTTGATGGCTTGACGTATTTCATCCTTTGTAATAGGTGGGCCCGAAAGTTGAATTGATGAGTTATTTTCTACGACTTCCGCTCGACTAGCATCAGAAAACAGCTCTTGAATATATTCTTCCCAGGTTTTTCTTCTTTCATCTGGCGTGATCATGATACGTCCCTCATCATTTACTAGTACAGCTACTTGTTTTTTCTTATAGATCCCCGCTGTTTCTTTTAGTTTTTTGTGCATGTTGAACGCATCATTTTGGTGCTGCAATCTTTCTATTTCTCCACATTCTTGCTGTAACCATGTGATCTTAGCCTGCCTGATTTTGATACGAATAATTTTGTTAATCCTCTTATATTCGCTTGTATTTTTATTTCTGTGCGATCTTCGTTGTTCCATTAACATCAAAATCTCTTCTGTCATCCAATTTCGTTTTGCCGTATATTTTTTGGTACCTAAATTTTCTTTGCCAACATTGTTCAGCACCATTTTCGTTTGATTCCATATAGATTGCGTATCATTTTCTGTTTCTATGTTCCGTAATTGATCATTTATCTTTGCAGCAGCTCTAGCTCTGATATTTTCGTTTTTCAACCTATCTAGATTTAGTCTCACCTGTTGTGGAACCTTGGGTTTCGCAACGAGTTTAGATTTAGTTTCAGCTAGTAATAAATTATGATCCGTCGGTACATCTGCTCCGGGATAAGTTCTAGCTCCTTTAACTGATGTGCAAAATCTATTGTTAATTAATATGAAATCAATTTGATTACGTACAATGTGGCTAATTGAGTCTTGAGGAGATTTCCAGGTGTATAATCTGCGTGGTGGTAATTTGAAGTATGTGTTCATTATTCTTAAGTTTTGTTCCTGACAATATTGAAAAAGACTATCACCTCTGCAATTTCTCACACCCAGTCCGAAATTACCGCAAACATTTTCTACTTTTTCGTCACCAACTTTCGCGTTGAAATCTCCCATAATTATGTTCAACTCATGGGGTCTTGTTAATTTCAGTACTTTGGTGACTTCTGCATAGAAATCTTCTACTTCTTCCTCAGACTTATCTACTGTAGGCGCATATACCTGGATAATATTTAATGTCAACGGTTTTGCATTAATTTTCAACAACATCACTCTATCTGACTCTGGCATAAAATTGGTTACGCAATTTGTTAAGTGTTGCGGAATTATTACTCCTACACCTCTTCTGTGTGCATCGGTTTCATTGCCTGAGTAGTATAATTTTGCTCCGTTGGTTACACATTCGCCTGATCCCGCCCACCATGTTTCAGATATTCCTAAGATGTCGATGTTCAATCTTTTCATTTCATTTACTGTGTTGGCAAGCTTACCAGCCTGATATATGCTTCTGACATTCCAGGTTGCAATACAAATGTCTTTCGCTTTGTTTTTATTAGTTTTACCTCCGGGGATTCT